GTTCAAATCTGAATTTTTGAAAATTCCAATGTCAAATTTTTTTTAGGCGTCTTCCTACAACTACAATATTAAAGACAGGTTTGTTTCCTTAATGATATCTGTTCTTCAAAGTCATGTACGGATTTTCAAAAATATGAGTGGTTTTTGCAAAAAGTATGGATAATTTTTAAACAATTTGTTTTCTCGAAAACTTATTCACTTTGCTTTTATAATTTTCTTTTTCTTGTATGTAGCAAAGGACAATAAAAAATACGTGTAGGTCCCATTGTTGGTGAACTCAGCATATTTGAAAATTGCAAACAATTAACAATGCAAAAGTAAAATATTGACAGTAGGTTTTTTTTCTTATAAGACTGTCCGAAAAAATTAGATCTTTAAATAATTTTTTTCAATCACAGGAAACTTGTCTTATTTAGAAAAGACGAGGAGTTTCGAGTGATTTCGTAAGTTAATACAATTTATTTTTAAAAAACTCAAAGACGGCTTTAATTTTTTTCCTTATGTAGAGAAAAGGAAGCTTACAACAACAGAGCAGGTATCATTTTCCTTGAACTTTCTGAATTTTCGAAAATTGCATAAGTTAGAAATAATGCTCAAAAGTATATAATACTTAATACCAATAGTTTCTAAACCACTATTTTCCCTGTCAAATACTTTGGGAAGCATTGCTTTGACCTAAATGACCCTCAATTTAGGATGAACCATATTTAAAAGCAAAACCCCCTACAAAAATGTTCCGCAGTGTTGAATCAAAATCCTCTAATGCCAAAGGGAACACAAAAAAATAATTTCATTGAGCAGGTTTTTTAATAGGCATGTTATTAGGTATGAAAAAATTCAAATCTTATTTATGTTTTGTGAGGGTAGCTTCTTTCTGATCACAAAGAATTTTCTCTCCAAGTCTGTCAATACAAACTTCATTCCATTTTTTCCACAGAAAATAGGCTATTTGTTATGGAGATCTTTTTCAGAACCAGTATTTTTTATTACAATTGAATGCATTTGAAATATTAACTATCCTTCAGTCAAATATTTTTCAATATATCTTTTAGTCCATGTTCAGTAGCTTCATTGTTTGTTTTTTTCTATTAGCTCTATATTATATTATAATTACTCGTTCATTGAAGAAGAAAAAAACCAACACATACTCGTTTGAAAAAATCTATGGCATTTTATTATTTAACACTGATCGGATTGAAGCTATTATTTACATTTTTAACAAATCCCTTCAGATCCAAAGGATAAAGTGTGTTTTTATCCAAGACCTCTTTCCACTACAGAAACTTTTCTTTAATGTTGACAATTTAACAAATTAGTAATCTACATTTACTTTCAATTATTCTTTACCTTAACCTCCCTTTCTAATGCAAATACTCTACAGAAAAGGTAGCATCTCAAATAAAACAGTCACTTGGCAATAACAAAAACAGGATATCAATTACCACTAATTTTCAAAGGTAAGGTTCTCTTTTCTTCCAACAACAGTTCCTCCATTTCAACAAGAAGTATGTACCACATTACAAAAACTTCATAAAAAGTTAAATGAGTATTATATTCATTGCAATGCATTATATCATGACAACAAAAGAATATTTAAAAACGAAGAGAAAGTGACAGAAATATTACAAAGTTTTATTATCTCATTAACATCTATTTGGATTGATTGCACACAAAATTCTATAATATTTTATAGTGAATAGGTGAGGTAAGAAGTGAAACACTAATGAAAAAATACTGCAGTAAATATGATTCTCATACTTGTCTCATGAGGGAAGGGAGGGTCATATGCTTAGTGGTCAGATGAATGATTATGATAATAAATCAATGATTATTAGCTTGTTTTCAAGGAAAAATTATGAAATTGTGTACCACTTCTTGAAAAATCAGCATCAGTATTGGAAATGATCTACTACCAAATTCTATAAAAAAGCTGTCCCCCCTTCAATCATGCTCCCAACAATTTAAGAGAATGGTAAAGTAAAAAAGTCTATAATACACACTCAAATTAGTTGAAAAGTGGTAATCATTACTCAAACATACACAGCATCAACATATTACACAATACAATTTGTTGAACTACATAAAATCTAATAATAGTATATTCAACATGATTGATTAGTAATAGATTACTAAAATGGAGTAAAAAACATGACAAAACTGTCAATAAACATTTCAAATCCTGTTTCTTGGAGGACTAAAAATGAATGTTTGTTAAGTTTTAAAAATTCCATAAAACAATTTCTATAAATTTTCATATCTGCATCATAGTTACTTACTATATAAGATAATGTATGGAGTATGTAATACGTCATTAACCTTAACTTAATTTTTTGCCACACACTTCATTCTGTGGTTCCTCAGCATCACTTTCTTTTCTTTAGCTTCAACATAATATGGTCATGGAATCTTGGCTAGGTTTCACACTTTAGATGCCATTATTGCACTGGCAACAGTCATGTGAAATGCGCAAATATAGCCTTTCTTTCATCTTTTACATTTCCAGCTGAGAGCTTCTTTTTTTTCTTGGTAGGGAAGAGATAATAACAATATTCCTATTTTCTCACTTCAATACTCTACTTGCCCTCACTTCATCCTTTTCTATGGCAATGTTTTAAGCTTCTTGTACTTTTTTTAGTCTTTTTAACACACATTTCACAGAAAACTAAGGAAAAAACAAAAGTAGCAGGGACAAAATAACACTATCTCTGGACTTTTGTTACATAAAAGTTTGGTTTGGTTCACTGCTCTGATGTTAACCCAAATGTCCTGTGGAGAGTTAACTGCTGGTGCTAGTCCTTGTTAATAATTGAGAAATCTCTGCCATACTGAAGAAAGGCAAATGCTGGAAGAGGCAATTCATGCACTTCATCAAAGAGACATAGATCATGTAGTAAGAGGTACCACAAGACTATGACGTTCTTTTTCTTGTTCTGGCCACTATGAGAATTAGACCATGGTATTCTTTAAACCGTTATTTCTTCTAGTACTCTCAAATTATTTCGTAAAGAAGATACTAACCAGATGCTGCTTCTTTTTTAACCTCTGTTGGTAATGTCCCTGCTCAGACAGGTGTTGATTTAATTTTCATCATGAATTCCCAAATTGAAAGTCCATAGAAGCTTGTAGTAGAAAACCACATTAGTATGGATATAAGGATTTAGGTGTGGCTGCTGCATATCAAATGGTATTGTCTCTCCCTATATTTAAATAGTTTTTCATAGCCAGAGATTACTTGCATTCATATTTTATGCAACTTTGACATTTTTTTCAAAAATTTAATTTCCTTTTTTGTTATCACTTCCTTCTCCCCTTTTACATTTGAATCTTCATCCCACAGATTATAGATATCTACTGCAAGTTTGTTTAATGTTTTGTACATATATCATCAATTATTAAAATGAAGACTAAATTTTCACAAATACTTCTCCCAAGGGCCCAAACTTTGCACATTGTATAGTTCTTGATTGAGGAAATATTTATTAGATTTTAGTCCATGCAGAAGATACAGCTCTGTTCTTGACTCTGTTACAAAAACAGTATTTGTGGTATTTATTTAACTTATTACAGCACTGGGTTTCTGCACAATATTAGAGAGGCATATATTAGGTTTTTCCATAGCAAAAATTCACTTATTGGCAAAAATATTATATGTCCGGTTCGTGCATGCACCTTCGTAATTTACTGAGCCAAGGTGTCTTTTTAAATTCCAGATTTCAATATTCTATAATATTCCTCAAAAGATGGCTGCACACTAACTAAATCTCTACATAGTCTAATTAAGCAGACCACAGGTGACCAGTGTCTTGATTCACTTCTTTCAAAGCCGAAGCAAATTCACATAGGCTTTAAATTTCAATTTTAGAACTGCTTTCCTCTTAATCTGAATATACAGAAAACGTTCTTACACAGCATTAATTATGCTGTAATTCTTATCCATTATTGAGAACTTTTCCCTCTCTGACACACACATATGAATCCACTGGTAACACTCCGACCCACAATATCCAATGGTACAATTCTGACTCTCACAACTATCTGCTTGCTAAAGAATACAAAAGAAAATACTTTCTTTATGTTCCCCTTCATAAACACCACTACAATAGAACAATTTATTATTGTTGATGATTAATTCTTGCAAAAAAACCTTTCCAGTGAAAAAGCTTACCTTAATTCTTAACATTGGACCTGATTTTCTAGAGCACCTAGAACTAAAAGACCAAATAAAATAATTCAAATACTACCTGTATACTGAACCCGACAAATCTTGGAAACTTTTTCTTAAATCATATTAATAAAGAACAAATTAATAACATAACCACACGAGCTCCATGAATGTTTCAATGTTCATTACACATCAATTTAAAACTACACATCTACAAATCCCATCATAAATTGTTCAACACTTATTTCATTTTAGAAAATTTGATAGAGTTTGTTACAGGATCTTCAAGTTCATTTCCTCTATTGTCATGATTTTTTCCTATCAACCTCATTTCAACCCACCGATTGCACATATTCATATTTTAGTAATATTCACTTTTGCATGATTAACACAGAATTCTAGTGGAAGAATAATAATATTGTTTTGTGAACAATGTAGACCTATGAAAGTTAAGTCTATTGGCAGTAGTAGATTATTTTCAATTTTGGGTGCATTAATTCTGAATAAGAAATTGGCAACACATCATCTTGGCAGCCAAGTGCATTCAAAAGAAATATTATATGAAAAATATGAACATTTTTAAAAAATTTAACATAATTTAGATGACAATTTACAAAATGTTGATTTCCCACTAGTACTGCTTACTTACTTTACTGCAGACATCGACAACTTGAGAACTGAAAGATCTGAGATACTTAGGTAGAGTCAACAATAAAAAACTGTTTTGTACAGAGAATAATGGCCAAAATGATAGTATTTTCAGTAGATACCACAAATAAATTACTACACAAAAGAACATGTCCTTGCAACATTGAACCACAATTCAAATTATACTCACCCATTAAAAGGTAACCCATTGTAAACCCAAAAACTAGACACACAGATGCTAGTGTACCCCCACAGATGACTAGTATTACATATGTACTTCCAACTGTTATCAATGCATGTAGGATATCAGTGCCTGAAATAAATGATTGACAAATTGTATTATATGACATAATTTAGAATCATTACTCATTTAAAAATGTAAGTTTATAAAATAGCTCTGTCAACAACACCAACTTACCATAGTTAAAGTAACCAATCAATAATCCACTAACACAGAAAAAGATATGTTGCTGCATTGGTTTTTTTCCATACAAGAAGTATCTATGTACAAATGCCAAAGGATATGCTATAAAAGATGGAAAACTGGATTTAACAGTTTGAACAAATTAAATATTATTCAAGTACAAGTTTTAGGTTACAAATCCTGCCATCATTCAAAACATTATGACAAGACATGATACATTGAAAATTATGCTTACCAATTAATATAGAAAGTAATAAGCGTAATGCTGGCTCTGTAGCGCCTAAAGCTAACGCTGTCCTACTTAAAATAGAGCTTTGAACAGCCATGTCGACAGTATAACTCACAAGGAGTACACTGTAAGTAATTTATTTGCTCGCTTGGATTAGACACTGAAACGGATGACAGTTCCTGCTTGTTTTACAGACACTGATCTTCATAAAACAAATGATTTACATAAGCACGTGAAACACTGTCAGGCCACCTAATAGGAGCAATGAGAACCCACATACTCCCACACCTCTAACCACCCATTACTACCCACAACTGACAATACACTGCGGCGTACTGTGGACCGGACGGACACTGAGCATCGTTGAGCATGTTCAGTTGCCGCTACTCAGCTGGCCAATGCGCAGTGTGGACAGTTGGTACGTCGGTGATCATACGAGTTCCGCTTGAATCACATTTTTTGTTCAAAATTCTCATAAATGCCGTCATTTTCAGGGTGGAGATTGCTCTCCGTACACTGACACAATAGAGTATTATAACATATTTCACACGATGTTAATAGAGATTTGCTGGTCACGCTGTAGGAGATGGAAAAAGTCTTCAACGAAATGGCGCAGCATTTGAATAACCCCATTACAAGAGCATGCGGCTCAGTGCGACTTCTCTTTGGCGTTCATGCCCTATGAATTCTTATTTGTGTTTTAGGAACAACCACTGGCCCTTTCATTACCAAATGCCTGTATTGCTTTGTCCCTCTCCAGGCATTTAATTTCATTTTAATTATATATATATATATATATATATATATATATATATATATATATATATATATATATATATATATATATATATATATATATATTTCACGTATTAATTCTTTCGCAATCTGATGTTAACGTGTGCCCAAAATTACACCTGACCTGTAAACAAAGTCAGTAATCGCTCTTTTGAATCCATTGATATTTGCGGAACATTTATTTTATTGTCGAGTCCTTAGAAGAACAGTTTCCCGATTTAATTAATTCCTTCGGTTTAGATAAAAATAAATTACCAACACAGACCACACATTATTCGATGAAGGCAATCGATCAAATCATAATTAACAAAACCACTACTAGAAATTAAATTGTAAGGAAATAATTAAGATATAGGGACCACAGTGCACAAATTATTCCAAGAAATAACACCGACACATTAAATATGTAATACGCGTATGTGTAGATTGTTTGCTAAAAGTAAAATCAAATTATTCATTGACTTATTTCCGCACAAATAATAGGACGAAGTTTACATTGCTGTTCATACAAATGATAAATGTAATTCATTTTAATCGACGGTTTTATTTCTTTAATAAGTACTTTCCTCTTAAAAACTAGTGGTGTTACAACAGCAATTTAGTTAGAAAAGTTAGAAATAATTTCTCGCATTATTTCTAACTTTTACACTTTTCGAAATTTCAGAGAGTTCAACGAAAATGAGACCTGCGCATTTACAGCCATTTTTGAAACTATTTTTCTATAAATTCCACATACTTGAAGCAAACTTACGCAAGAACTACTTACTTAAAAAAGGTACATGACCTTATTTAAAGATCAATTTTACTTTCTCGCTACGGAGTAGAGACAAAGTTATGTAATGCTGCGCCAAAATTCGGCGAATTGTCGATAGAAAAAATCTTATTACAGGGCCCTATTAACGAAAAAGTGGTTAAATACAATTGCTAAATTTAGGGGGGGAAATCCTCTATCACGTGGTGTGGTCAGACTCTAAGGTTTGTTGATCATTGATACCGAAAAATCGAATGACGAGAAAACGTGTCTGTCCGTCTGTGAACAACGTTAGCCGCTAAACCGTACAACCAGTTTTCTCCAAAATTGATATCCCCAATCGATATGACTGATGTCGCGGCCCCTTGAATTAGAAACCGATATTTTAATTTTTGAGGGGAGGGTACTTTACATAAAGCCCCTGATACATTTTCAAAATTTTTCAAGAAAATAGCTCCATCGTTTTATATTACATTTTCTTGTTGGATAGTCTGAAGGATGAGAAGAGAGGGGTGAAATTCAAAGAATGGTCCAGGTCTCATGTTCATCTTAAACCCTGATTTTTCGATGATTGCAAAAATTCAAAAGTTTTTCAGGGTCAGGGAAGGGTGAAGAAAGACAAGGTGGAGCTTAGCGTGGTGGAGCAAGGTGGGGCGGGGCAGCGCAGGGCAGTACAGGCTGGGTGAGAGTGAGGCAGACTGGTTAGCGCTCGCACTCGCGGGCATACACTCTATACAGATAAATGCAATCCTTTTCCTCTAATAGATGACTATGATGAATACATACCCGGACAACGCAGGACACTTCACCTAGTTTTTACTTTAATGAAAGATCTTCGTAATTTCCGCATCTTTTGAATAAATATCGCATACAGTAAACCGGGATGACTTTGTGCCACTTAAGGAAGATTTTTGGAAATAATTTGTTTATGTTTCGCATAATTAACAAATACACAACAGCATATGATATTAACAAAAATACTTTGTCTATTGTAAGTGGTGATAATTATTGAAATAAATGCTTTTAAACAAAAAATGTAACATAAATTTAGCATAAAGTCACTTTATAGGATGGAGTGACTTTATGCCACTACATTTATTGTGCATCATTTAGCGTTGTGCGAGGCATAGCACCATTCCCCCCCCCCGTTCTTAATGATTTGTGTGAAGCAAGGAATGAATCAAACAGTATCACAAAGTTTAAAACTATATTTTTTACTTTCTCGTATACGTATGTATATACGGAGTAATAAACGTAGTATAGAGAAAGTTATGTAATGCTGTAATGCAAATCGATTTCGAAATTTTAACGGAAATTCAAGTTTGGGGGTCCTCTGATACCAAAAAAGTGTTGTTCCTTCCCCCCCGAAAATGTCCGTCCGTGAATACAGCTAGCGCCTAAATCATACGTAGATTTTTTCCAAAATCGATAATCCCTGGTCAACTCGAGGCGCTGCGAATTTTAAAAACATGAATTAAAAATTGGGGTTACTTTACATGAAGCCCGCGGACATTTTCAAAATTTTCTCAAATTTTGTCTTTTAACTTCTTGTAAAAATAGAGTAAAATATTTAAAGGTGGCATAGGTCCGATTTTCACGGTTAACTTTGAACTTACGAAAATTTTGAAAGTTTGAATTTGTCAGCTTCTTTCTACAACTACAAAATTGAATATAGAGATTTTTTCAAATAAAATTTGTTGTTACATAGTTAGTTCTTTCATTACGGTCATGTGTATCTTTTCCAAACTTTTAGTAGTTTTCGCGCAATTTTGCATGCAATATTGGCAATTTAAGTAAATTACAAAAGCGAGATTTACTCAAAAAAACAGCTTTAAATTTTTCCTTAAACTATTGGTATACAAAAAGTTGACAAAATACCATATTGCTCTATTTTTTTTTTTTTTTAAATTACAAAAATGTAATATTTTGAACTATCTTAATTTGTTAATATCTACATTAGCGACTATTTGTTGTTTTATTTATGAGTACATGTGCTTTAAATATGTTTAAATAATGTAAAGTTTCTCTAAAACTCAAACGTTTTGTGTTAAAACGACTCATGTTCCGCATTTTCAGAAACGCTCAATGTTCATTTTCTCAAAAACCGCTCTAAATGTTTTTCTTCAAACGTTTCGTGCAGATAGTGCTAATTGCACTCTTTGAGACATCATAAGATACGTTTTGCAGCATAAATATATTTTTTGTTTTCAAAAATTACACAAATGTTTTTTTAATACATGTCACGCCGTTAATATGCAAAATTCCAGCGATTTGCGAACCTTTTCTTCAAACCCCCCCAACGTGTAGTGCTAATTGTAGTCTTTAATGTGTCATAAAGTTCATACTGACATAAAATTAATGTAACAGTGTATACAAATCGCTGGAGATATGAATTCATTTTGTTTGAGTTTTTTTCTCAATCGCTTACAGAGTATACCAGAATAGCCCCTCCTTTGTACTCCCAGGTGTGAATGCTTCAGGACACGTAATGTCCAGTATGCTTTTGGCACTGCAGGAAATTAAAATATACATTAAGTTTTGAATGTGAAACTATGTATACCCAACAATCCACAAGGGATTCCCTAGTGCGTATAATAAGGGGCATGTGGGACGGCCGAATGAATGACTTAAAAAGTAGGAAAAGAAAACGATAACGATTGACTACAATACTCGATGTATTTAGTTGACGAAGTGCTTGTTTTTTCGTAATGAACCCGATTTTACTAAGGTAGAAACGTAGTTACGCTTGCAAAGTCCAGGACGTTTAACTTAAATGTTTAATTGTCCACAACTTTCTTGAATATTCTTATTGTGGGCATTTGACCGTATATTAGGCGGACATGGATGGAAGATATCGATAATTATTTAATACACCCAAAAGTCTAAATAATTTAAAAACGTTTGTTATTAAAAGTATTGTGCTGTGATCTTTTAATAACATAAACGATCGGAAATACTTCTGACGTTTTGGTGTACATCAAATAATTTTCAGCATTCTCTACTCACGTCCGCCTAATATATGCCCAAATGCCCACAATAAATATATTCTAAGAGGTCTACTTTATAGGGTACTGCAAATCAAGTCATGTTATTGACATACTAAAACATTCTCTCCCGCAACGATCTTGATTGTACAATCGGTGGCCTCAATTGTACAATCGCTCTTGCGTTAGCTAATATGATTCGATCTTCTTCCTTTAAATTTTTGTGTTCTGACCTTCGCTTTTTCAGCTCTTTCAGGAAGTAAGTACTGGTCATTCGATTCAATACGCAAGGCTATTCGGGAAATCTGTGCAAATGAGGCAATAGTGTACAAATTATTCCAATGGATACAACAAAAATACAAACAGATTTCATGTGCTTAATTGTAATTCCTCCTTTTAATGCTGTCACATCGGGCACATTAATATCTTGTAAAATGTATGGAATGGCGGTAAATTGCACACCGTATTTGGTTCACACAGGGAGGGAGTAAAGGTAAAACCATTTTTTCATTCTCGCATGCTACTTACGTAGTATAGAGAAATTATTTTAATGCTGTGGCAAAAATTCGCGAATTTTGGCAGAGAAAATCGCATCATGGCGTCCTGATATAAAAAGGAATGGATAAATCTTGTTCCAATATGAAATGCACTTCCTCGAACACATTGTTTAGTTGGAATTCACGTTTTGTAGGTCCTTGCACCGAAAATTCGGTAAACGGCAAAATGTGTCAGTGTGTGTCAAAATGTGTGTCAGTGTGTTTGTCCGGTTTGTCCCTCTGCGGTCAACGCTGATAGCCAAACCGTTCAGACGTTTTTCTCAAAATCCCCCCAATCGACCTGCCCGAATTCGAGGCCCTGGAAATTTGAAATGGATATCATGATTTTTGGGGATACTCTTTACGAAACCTTGACAACATTCTCGTGTTTTTGGCTGCAAATTATTTGAATAAATTGGGTCCTCGGATAGAGGAAACAACGCTTAAAATCGGCGCAGAACTTATTTTCTCTGAAAACTGAATTTTCAAACTTGCAAATTTCAATTTTTTTCGGCTTCTCCCTATTAGTAAAGTATTGAAGATAGAGATTTTTTCCTTAACAAAATCTGTTCTTCAAAGACCGATCTTAAATAAGAT